AGTTGGGGTTGATTCCCTTTAGGATTGACTGATTGGATCTCCTTGCAGTCAAAGGTACTGTCAAGAACCATCCCTAACATGTCTTCAAGGTACATAGAATGGATCCATGTCTGGTTCCACAACAGAGACAATATCTCACCTGGCCAAGTAGTACGTCTTGACTGATAATGTTCTAGATAAGAATAAAGTGGCACCCAGAAGCTTCAGAATTCAATTGTGTCATTTATCTCTCTTTTATTTTTTGGAGCTTCATGACCAGTGGTGGGATTCAAACACCTGAACAACTGGTTCTATTATGTGATGCAGGCCTGGACCTCCAATGCCTAGAATGGACTTCCAGAAGTGGCATCAAAGCACTTCTAGTGGGCTGTTCTAGGCCTGGGAGGCCTCCTCCAGGCTTCCGATACCTAGAACAGACTTCCGGAAGTGGTATCCATGCACTTCTGGTGGGCTGTTCTAGGCCTAGGAGGCCTCTGAGGCCTAGACTGGACTTCCAGAAGCTAGCCGGTTCTCCAAATTCAGGTAAATTTAGCTACCGGTTCTCCCAAACAGGTGCAAACTGGCAGAATCCCACCACTATTCATGACAAAGTTTCCTCCACACTTCTTTTCTTTGCTAGACAGGCCAGGCTGCTCCATGGGTTCACAAAATCTAAGGCCTAAATTCTAAATTCATTATATCAAAACCAAGTTTCCATTTTTGCATAACACACCCTCTTAGTGTTCAAAGAACATAAGTGAAAATTTGGAACTTTCTATATTGACAGAGGTGAGAATCTCATAAGTACAAGGATGGAAAGACACACTAATTGCGCACAGTGGAGGAAAGGATAGTAAAGGGGATGGAGTTAGCAGAGATGGCAGATCTAATTTTTTAATTATAGAAAAGAACTTATCTAGTTTTGTTTCTACTTGGAAATCATTTCTGGATTTTTTTTTTTGTCTGAAACTGAAAAAAAAATGAAACTTTGATTTGAGGTTTGGAATGAATGAATGAATGAATGGAGGGAGGGAAGGAGGGAGCGTGGGGGGAAGGAAGGAAGGAAGGAAGGAAGGAAGGAAGGAAGGAAGGAAGGAAGGAAGGAAGGAAGGAGGGAGGGAGGGAGGGAGGGAGGGAGGGAGCTTCCAGTGATGGAGCACGTACAATTTCTGAAGGCAAGCCATTCCACTGGTTAATTCTTCTCTCTATTAAGAAATTTCTCCTTAGTTCTAGATTGTGTCTCTCCTTGATTAGTTTCCATCCATTACTTCTTGTCCTGCCTTCAGGTGCTTTGTAAAATAGGGTGACCCCCTCTTCTTTGTGGCATCACCTCAAATATTGGAAGACTTCTATTATGTCACCCTTAGTCCTTCTTTTCGCTAGACTAAACAAACTCAATTCCTGCAACCAATCTTTGTATGTTTTAGCCTCCAGCTCCCTAATCATCTTTGTTGCTCTTTTCTGCACTGTTCCCAGAATCTCAACATCTTTTTTTTTTTATATGTTCTGGTAACCAGAACTGGATGCAGTATTCCAAGTCTGGTCATACGAAGGCTTTATAACATGGTACTAATACTTCACATGATCTTGATTCTATCCCTCTATTAATGCAACCAAGGATTTCATTGGCTTTTTTTTTGGATGCTGCCACATACTCTTCACTCATATTTAAGTGATTGCCCACTCAGGCTTCAAGATCCCTACCAAAGTTACTGCTATTGAGCCAGGTTTCACCTAATCTGTAACTGTACTTCTCTTTTTTTGTACCTATACTTTTTGGTAAGTGTAAAGCCTTACTTTTCTCTACACTGAATTTCAGTTTGTTACATAGGAGCCAATTTTTTTTTTTAAAGAAAGAAATAGGTGCCTAGTATGACAGATATGCTCGTTCATGGACATCATCCTTCTTCAAGCAAAATAATGTGTGTAATGAAGCTTTTTAGGATATGATCAATTTAGCCAGAATCAGAGCATTCACTTACTTATTAAATTGATGTGCCCAGGCATAAATTGCAACTCTATTAAGTGAATCATATAAAAATTAAGGATTCCAGTTTCAAACAGATTTGATTTGCATTGCATTTTCAATCATTCTGCTTTTCCATAATGTCCATTTATTAGAACACCGTCGCATTAATCTTCTGTATAATTAATTTTCTACCTCATTTGCAAGCTAAACTTAGGGGTTTTTTTAAAAAAAAAATCTTTGTACTACTATAGATTTTACATGAAAAAGGGAGTTGAAAATATCTAATTAGAGAGGTAGGATCTATACCTCTAAATCTCTCCTGTAAGTTATGATGAAGGCAGTACTACACTAAGAATTATACCAATTGGAGGAGTACCTAGAAAATTAGTGGAGTCTTGGACATTTAGTAACTACAGAGTAGAGAGATAGTGAGTTGGCTTTCCCAAGGTTGAATACCCATCTTTGTTGTTGTTGTTGTTGTTGTTGTTAGTTGTGAAGTTGTGTCCGGCCCATCGCGACCCCGTGGACAACGTTCCTCCAGGTCTTCCTGTACTCTACCATCTTCTGGAATCCATTAAACTCACGCCTACTGCTTCAGTGACTCCATCCAGCCACCTCATTCTCTGTCGTCCCCTTCTTCTGTTGCCCTCCATCTTTCCCACCATTAAGTCTTCTCCAGTGAGTCCTTCCACCTTTAGCCAAACAAAACTGAACATAGAACATAGAGTGGACAGGTCCTCAGAGGTCTTCCAGTCCTACCCCCCGCCCAAGTCCAGAGTCTTTACACCATCCCCGATAAATGGTTGTCCAATCTTGTCTTGAAAACTGCCAGCAATGGAGCACCCACGACTCTGAGAGGCAAGTTATTCCTTCAGTTAATTGTTCTCACTGCCAGGCAATTTCTTTTTAGTTCTAGGTTGCATCTGTCTTTAATGAGCTTCCACCCATTATTTCTAAAGAAAAAAAGAAACAGGGGAGACATGATAGCAGTATTCCAGTATTTGAGGGGCTGCCACAAAGAAAAGGGCATCAACCTATTCTCCAAAGCACCAGAGGGAAGGACAAGAAACAATAGTTGGAAACTGACCAAATAGAGAAGGAACCTGGAATTAAGGAGAAACTTCCTAACAGTGAGGACAATTAACCGGTGGAACAGTTTTGCCTCCAGAAATCATGGACGTTCCATCATTAGAGAATTTTAAGAAGAGACTAGACATTGACCTGTCCGAGACGGTATAGGTTGTCCTGCTTTAATAGGGGCCTGGACTAGAAGACCTCCAAGGACCCTTCCAGTTCTATTCTATTCTATTCTATTCTATTCTATTCTATTCTATTCTATTCTATTCTGTTCTGTTCTGTTCTGTTCTGTTCTGTTTTATTCTATTCTACTCTTCTCTATTCTATTCTATTCTATTCTTATTCTACTCTACTCTACTCTACTCTATTCTACTCTCAATAAAGAGTTCTATTCTATTCTATTCTCAATAAAGAGTTCTATTCTATTCTATTCTATTCTATTCTCAATAAAGAGTTATATTCTATTCTATTCTATTCTCAATAAAGAGTTCTATTCTATTCTATTTTATTCTATTCTATTCTATTCTATTCTACTCTATTCTTTTCTATTCTATTCTATTCTCAATAAAGAGCTATTCTATTCTATTCTATTCTATTCTATTCTATTCTATTCTATTCTATTCTATTCTATTCTTATTCTACTCTACTCTACTCTACTCTACTCTATTCTACTCTATTCTATTCTTATTCTACTCTACTCTACTCTACTCTATTCTATTCTTATTCTACTCTACTCTACTCTATTCTATTCTCAATAAAGAATTATATTCTATTCTATTCTCAATAAAGAGTTCTATTCTATTCTATTCTATTCTATTCTTATTCTACTCTACTCTACTCTACTCTATTCTACTCTACTCTATTCTATTCTATTCTTATTCTACTCTACTCTACTCTATTCTACTCTATTCTATTCTATTCTTATTCTATACTCTACTCTACTCTATTCTATTCTATTCTTATTCTACTCTACTCTACTCTACTCTACTCTATTCTATTCTATTCTATTCTCAATAAAGAATTCTATTCTATTGTCAATAAAGAGTTCTATTCTATTCTATTCTATTCTATTCTCAATAAAGAGTTCTATTCTATTCTATTCTGTTCTGTTCTGTTCTGTTCTGTTCTGTTCTGTTCCATTCTATTCTAATTTCTTGCCCTTTCTTCAAATGCTTTGGAGAATAAGTTGACCCCATCTTCAAGAATAAGTTGACCCCCTCAAATACTGGAAAACAGTCATGACTGGTACAGTGAAGACTATTTCCCATCTCTGCAAAATCATAGCTATTTTAAGTGTCTTTGGTTGTGAAATATTGCTCGTATAGATTGGGAGAAGTCTCTGGATAGAATGTGACCTCTTCTGCTGAAAATGAGTGGAGCAATCTATTCATTTCTATGTCAGTGTCATACAATTCATTACATTTCCTTCTTTTGTTGTGTCTCACGCAAAATAATGTGCATCTAAACCCATATGTAGTTTCCCACAAATGTACTTTTCATTGAAGAATTTCCACTTCATGTTCTGCAGTCTCTTTGACTCCCTAAACTTCAGAAGAATCTTAAGAAAAAACACCAAGAAAGGAACTTTATTCATTGAGCTTTTTTTTATCCATAGGAAGAGACAGAGGCTGACGAGTAACCCAGAGAGATTTTTCAGAAAGCAATAGTAGTACTCTTCAGCCAAGGTCCCAAGATCAGATGAAACTCTAACCACTACAAAAACCCAGAAGACATCTGCAAGAAGCCCAAGAGTAAAACAACAACAACAACAATAATAAAAATCAGCTGAAGCATCTTTTGAAAGAAATACAACTTTGTTAAAAAGGGGAAATACACGTTAGCAAATATAAATCAAAACAGGACAGAGATGATGTCTCTGGATCAGGAGGAAAGGCTATAAATCTTCATCTCGACCTTTGAAGATGGTTAAGGATAAGCAGGAAGGGAGGGAGGAAAATGGAAGAGAGGGAAGAATTCAGACATGTCTTTTGAGTTTCAGTTTTCTCCTGGACTCTCTAGAACGGAACCTCTTGGTGGTCTTCATTAACATGACTTTTTTGATCTCAGAAAAAGTCTGTGTCTTGGTTTCTGGAACCATTTTGTAGATGTATACAATGGTTCCTATACAGAAGGGCCAGAAGACCACAAAGCAGTAGTACCCCAAGTCCTTCTGAAAATGGGAAAAAAAAAACAATATGTGGGAAATTCAGAGAAGGAAAGAGGGAATAATACATCTTTTATCACGTAAATATTGTTCTGGCATCTTTCTTATTTTTCCATCTTAGCCTCTGGTCCATGAGGCTCTTATCCTAGCCATATGCCCAAGGGTAGAAGAGGAAGCCACTCCTAATGGGATCAACAGCTCCCACTTGTATCTTCTCTAGATTGCCATTCACAATTTCAGGAAGAGAGAAAGCTACAAGTAGTCCTTGATTTACAATCAATCATTTAGTGACTGTTCAAAGTTAGAACAGCACTGAAAAGGGTGGCTTTCAACCAGTCCTCACACTTGCAACCGATGTACCATCCCCATGGTTACAGGATCAAAATATGGTTGCTGGGAACCTGGATTGTATTTACAATGGTGGCAGCATCCTGGGGTCATGAGATCACCACTTACCATCTTCCCATCCAAGCAAAGTCAACAGAAAAAGCCAGATTTGCTTGAAGGCCATATGATTCACTTAACAACTGCAGTGATTAGTTTAACAACTGTGGCCCCCCAAAAAAAGGTTGTGAAATTGGTTGCGACTCACTTAACAGCTCCTTTGCTTAACAATGGAAATACAATTATTTCAATTGTGGTCATAAGTTAAGATCTAATTGTGCTTCTGTTCTCTGTGCAGAACGATTTCTTCCCCGGCAAAACGTAAAATATAATTACTAGAGCGTAGAGCCGCGCTCCATCATGTCTGCCCTCTTATAGCATCAAGACCAGTGGTGGGATTCAGATATGTGAACAACCAGTTCTCTGTGTGGATGCCGCTTCCAGAAGTCCATTCTGGGCTTGGGCAACAAAAAATTAACTACTGGTTCTACCGAAGTGGTGCAAACCAGCTGAATCCCACCACTGATCAAGACTGACTGATGCCTCTGCTAAAAGTAGTCAGAAAGTGGGTTCCTCCCCCCCCCAGGCACTGTGGTGAAAAAGTTGTAAACTAAACCAAGGTTGGTTCTGTCAGACCAGTGCAACATTATTGGCAACCGGATACAAGATCACAGCTGAAAACTGCAGATGATAGATAGATAGATAGATAGATAGATAGATAGATAGATAGATAGATAGATAGATAGATAGATAGATAGATAGATAGATAATTGCATGATACCTGATATCTTCCTGCCTCTCTGTCCAGGTAACTTTTATTTTAATTGAATTTTAATTTTATCATCCTTATGTATGGATATATATATATATATAGATAGATAGATAGGTAGGTAGGTAGGTAGATAGATGATAGATAGGTAGGTAGGTAGGTAGGTAGGTAGGTAGGTAGGTAGATAGATAATTGTGTGATACTTTCTGCCCTCTCTGTCCAGGTAACTTTTATTTTAATTGAATTTTAATTTTATCATCCTTAGGTATTGCATTTTAATTGAACATCTGTAAGCTGTAGAGAATCACCTCTGACGAGATAGCCTGCATGCAACATAGATAGATAGATAGATAGATAGATAGATAGATAGATAGATAGATAGATAGATAGATAGAGTACAGCTTCAAGAATAGGCTTGAAATATGCCAATTCAGCTTTTCCCAGCAAATTGCTCTTCAAAGTCACTCACTTCTCTCACACTGAGAGCAAACCTCTCTCCCTTCGAGCACTGATGATGTTACCTAGTAGAGTCATAAAATGCCTGGAAAAAAAAAAACCAGCCAAGCTCAGAGAATACCCAGGACCCCTGACTTACCTCTAGGTAGAAGAATGTTAATCCTGTGATAAAATTTGCGCTCCAGAACACGGAACCTGAAATCACAAAGGCCGAAGCTCTTGACGACTGAGAGAACAGCTCCAATGTAAGCAAGTGTGGAAGGGCCGCTTGTAGTCAAAAGGAAGACAAGAAATGAAGTATCACTTTTCAGGGGCAAGATCTTTCTCTTGGTTGGGGCTTCATCTTCATCCAGATGACCCTGAACCATCGCATTACTTACCAGGTCCAAAATCGTGTGCACAAACGAATAGGATTATCATCGTGGAACTGAAATATGACAAGTTGCTCACAGTTTTCTGTTGGAGGAAAGGGGATGTATTTCAGCGATGGACTGGTGGAATTTGCAGATGTCTTTGTTTGTCTAAGGCAGCTTTAACAGAAACCCGGCAGAAACATAACGGAATAACATAGTCGGAGGGACCTTGCAGGTCTTCTAGTCTAGGGGTCCCCAACCCCCATTCTGTGGACTGGTACTGGGCCATGGCATGCCAGCAACAGGTCCGCACAAACAAGCAAAGCCCCATCTGTGGAATGCAGGCATCACACAAAATTTCTTCCCGTGCTCGATGTTCCCAATTACAAACCTGCAGTTCAAGGGACACTATTAACAAAATGGAGCTGATGCTGCAACATGTAAAACTCGTAAGAAGAAGGATCCGCCGTCCCACATTATCAACCAAGTACATCTAGAGAATATGAAAAGAAGGAAGTGTATGAGAAAAAAAAAACAACAACATTTCATCATAGGACAGTGAAGTGAAAGACATGTTCTCCTAATTTTGTGCTGTCCAGCTATCCTAGTCAGATATCCAGATAGCAGATATCCCAGGGCTTTTCAACCTTTTCACCCATTGTACCAGTTTTAGGATATTGCAACATCCGAGTACCACCAGTCGCCTAGCAAGGTATCAAAAACTTGATGACCCAAAAAAAAAAGGGAAAAAAGTGATGAAGTACAGGTAGTCCTCAACTTACAACAGTTTGCTTAGTCACTGTTCGAAGTTACAATGGCACTGAAAAAAGTGCTCCCCAAAACACAGCCGAGCAAGACATCTGCCTGCCCACCCAGCGGGGCTCTTCCTCTTGTCCGAGATTTTCATTGTTGTGAGCATTTCTGTTGAGGATTGGTAGCAGGGATGGGGTGGGGAGGTGTTTGGTTTTTATTCCCCCCATCTGCTGGGTGGTTGCAGAAGGTTTTGGTCATTTCACATGACCCTGGGACACTGTGACTGTCATAAATATGAATCAGTTGCCAAGCATCTGAATGTAAATCACAAGACTCTGGAGAGGCTGCAACATTCCAGCTGATCGTGCTTCTTCTGGGCTCAGCAGAAGTGCCAGGATCAGCGCCGAGTTCCAGCTGGAGCCTGGTGCTGATCCTGGCGCTTCCACTGAGCCCTCACAGCCCTGCAGCTCCAGCCATCTCTCACTCAGGCTTGTGCGGTTCAACTCATTCCCCTCCACCGCTACCACTTTTCTAGGATGGTCATGTACCACCTGCCAGGTGCCAATGTACCACAGGTGGTACCCGTACCACTGGTTGAAAAGCCTTGAGATATCCTAAGAGCCTTGGTGGCGCAGAGGTTAAAATGCAGTATTGCAAGCTAATTCTGCTGACCACCAGGAGTTCGATCCTGACTGGTTCAAGGTTGACTCAGCCTTCTGGAGCCGTTCTTCCTATGTTTTAGTCTCCAGGCCTTTGATCATCTTAGTTGCTCTTCTCTAATTTTTTTCCCAAACATTCAACATCTTTTTTGTGATATGGTGACCACAATTGGCTGCAGTATTCCAGGTCTGGAATACTAGACTAGAATTATTATATCCTGGTGATTGCCCCATAATCACCCACTGGGTTTCATGATTAAGGTGGAAGTAGGTCTTTAGCCAGATGCCTTAACCACCAGTGACCAGATCAACCTGGTTAGACAAGAGGTAGTTTCTTACCACTAGTAGAACAGAGGAGCACAGAATAACAATTGTTGCAGTAGTTAAGTACTTCACATCGCTCCTCTTCATAGGCATGATCAAGAAAATCCGCTCTGTATAAAAGTATGCCTGAAAGTAGAGCAGAGCAGAATAAAATGTGAATAGGAAAAAACAAAACACCAAACAGTTGGAGATTCAGAGCAGGGCTGGGAAACCCTTTATATAAGCCCAAATAGCAGTAAACCTTCCTAAGAAGTAGGAGCATTGTTGAAGAATACCAGGAATTATGTTTTACCAAAGTGTCAAGCGACACAATGGTCTCTTTGTAAGCCAGTAGCTTGAGAAACTGAAATATTCTTTATTGGAGCCTGAAGGTGAACTACATTTATATTGATGTTTCTTTTTTTTAAAAAAAAAAAGCAAAATAAAGAAAAAACTTCATCGATAAAGAGTTTCATTTTTTCTCATCCAGATATACTGGATTATATTTCTCAAGATTCACTAGGTGGGATTTAGGTACCCTATCACAGAGGTCCCCAACCTTTTGGGCACCAGGGACCAGTTCCATGGAGAGAGGTTTTTCCATGGAGGTATGGTTTTGTGTGCTGCCTACATCCCACGGATGGGGCTTTGTTGTTTGTCCGGACCACTTGCTGGCATGCCATGTGTCAACGCTGTGACAAACCAAACTGAAGCCATTTTCATTTTTGTCTTCATTGCCTTATGCTAGCTTAGAGATTTTAGATGAAGGAGGAGGGGGGTGTAGTTCTCAGTTAGCCAAAACAATTCCTATGTGTGAGAACCAAGGTCATTGCTGATAACATTTTGGTGGGTTGGAGAACTGGGAGGAGAGCCCCAGTTTTGTAACAATTGGTGAGTGTGATTTAAGACAGCAAATTGGGGTGGGAATTGCAACTTGTAACTTTGTAACAAGAGAGAGGGGATTTTAGTCTTGGGTTCACCTTTGTACGTGCCGATATCTTGTTTCCTAAATAAAATGTTCTTTAAGAAAGAAATCCTTGCCTTGAAGTTCTTTTAAATGGTTTCATCTATTGGAACCATGACACCGGGCCTGGTACTGGTCCACGGACCAGGGGTTGGGGACCCCTGCACTATCATATGAAAGGGGCACACATTCAATTTTCTTATCCAGATTTATATTCTCTCAATAACCAGATCTGTCACAGTAGGATTGCCCTAGCAGTCTACAGGTCATCCTTGACTTACAACAATTCATTTAGTGACCATTCGACATTACAACAGCACTGAAAAAGTGACCTGTGACCATTTTTCACACTTATGACCATTGTACATCCCTGTGTTCAGGTGATCAGAGTTGAGGCGCATGGCAACTGACTCATATTTATGACAGTTGCATTGAATCATGTGATCCCCTTTTTCAACCTTCTGACTGACAAGCAAAGTCAACTCTTAACTCTTAACAACTATGTTACTAATTTAACAACTGCAGTGAATCACTTTAAAATGGTGGCAAGAAAGTTCATAAAATGGGGGAGAGCTCATTGAACAACTATCTTGCTTAGCAACAAAAATTTGGGGCTCAGTTGTGGTCATAAGTTAAGGACTACCTATAATAAGGATCAATTCATCAATCACGCAATTCAATCCACGTAGATTTCCGATTGCTTCTGATAGGAGGAGCAGGAGAGGCATCTCGTTCAACTCACTGGACCATCATTTTCTTTCCAGCTGGAATCTGCTTTGAGATCAACTAGATTAATCTAGTTCCTAGATTCCTGTTGCCCCTATTGTCTTTTGACCCAGTTTTGTCACATTACCGGAAAGTGGATGAAGAATGTGAGATGACATTGTTACATTGGATTTTTTCCTTACCTTCAGTTATAACTTGTAATTGAAGTGGGCTCCTGGCACGAATCTTTCTAAATGCTGAGATGGTCAGGAAAGGCCCTCTTCAAGATGACCCATTTTCCTGAATTTGTTTATGTGAAACCCAAAGGGCTTTTTTCACAATTGCTTCACAATTTTGGTGAATTAGTTTGGCAAGACTCTGTCTACTGTAAGCAAATAAAGAACTGAACCCTGGATGAACTGTTTAACCTTGTTCTCGGCTTTAGTCTGACAAGTATGGAGTTGCATTCCATCTCATTTCAAAGAAAGACAAAGCAAGAATAGTGTTTTTCCCAACACCCATGCATTCCATCTCAAGAAATTAATATATTTTTTTTCAAACTACTTAGGTCTTGCTTACCACACTTATACCGTTGAGCTGTGAACCAGCCATGATGACAACTATCGTGATGATGTGCCATCGCATACTTGGGGTCCGTATTAGTTTCAGTGGAGTCATGTCTTTGTTATTACCCTCAGCAAGGTCCTCCTGAGACATTTCTTCAATTTCATTATCCACATCATCTGTCTCTCTCAGCATCTTCAGGACTGGGTGGGGGTAAAAAAATAGAAGAAAACCTTTGCATTTGGAAAATGTACAAGAAAATCATTCAGATAGCCGGCCTAATGGTGCTACTATAATTAGGATTGAGAGAGGTTCTGGTCCCCATGTCTTCTCCAGAGTTTAGGCCAAATTGTGCCACAACTACTTCATTCAGACATAGACAGTCAGGTGAACATTAATATTAAATAAATGTCCAAAAGCACGCTGGATCTCCAAATGGAAGTTTTCCTATGCAAAACTGGTCACTATCACGGTAAATCCAAGATATCGTTTCACTCCACCTGTGTGAATTGCTCCAAACATTCTCTCTTTTATTTATTTTTTAAATTTATTACTATTAGAATTTCAAAGAAAAGAAATCATACTCATAGAAATTTAAATGATCTTAGACAACATGTGATCTGTCAGGTAACACAAATAGGCAAAAAAAAGCAATGGGAGCAGAAGTAACTTCTGACTTCCTGCTGGCCTCCCCATTGTCTTTCTTTGTGGGAAACTCAAGGGCTGATGGAAATCTTGCTCAAGTGACCATGGGGACACTGCTGTAGCTACAACTTTGCAAACAAAAGTGGTCTGAAGTTCCTTGAAATTTCAATTATTTTTTTAGGCTAGCAGATTTGAGGTATCTTCAAAAATTATTGTGTTTTGATGTACCCTCTGGCCTAATTGAAGGGTTCAAAGAAACAAACTACAAGAGTTTTAGTACTATACTGAAAAGGAAGGAAGGAAGGAAGGAAGGAAGGAAGGAAGGAAGGAAGGAAGGAAGGAAGGAAGGAAGGAAGGAAGGAAGGAAGGAAATACAACCGAATAACAAGTCATGAATAGCCAGCAAATTTCAATGCTATATTGACCTTCAAGAAACACCACATAGCTGGTTTGAAACTCACCAGACAAGGGAAATCAGATGTTATTCTTTGGGGTTCAAATCTTTTCCCCAGACTTGAATTGACAACTTTTTCACTTTGGGTACAGTAGACAATAAATTAGCTATTAGAGCAATTCAGGTCCTGGTACTTAACAACAACAGAAAGGATTGCTAGATGTTCTGCCAAAATAGTAGCTACATTTCACCTTAAGATCTCAGAGAAGAGAGATACAAGTGTTGTATATTATGTCGTGCATGGAGAGAAGAATTTGGAAGTCAACTAAAGGCCCATACATGGATTTACATGGATCCATGAAAGTGGATTGTAGATATTCCGATAGCATAGCACATCTATGGTAAAACGTCATATTGTTATTATATTTTAATACACTGTAGCAGAGTTTCCTGATCTTTTCAGCTTCTCAAACTGGGGGGGGAGAGGGGATGGTTCTGTACAAGTGGTGGGCAAGCATCATACATACTGGGATCATGTAAATGGAGTGCACAAGACATGCTCATGCAAGTGGGGAGGCATGTGTGCTCTCGTCCATCACTTCCATTGCTCAGTTCCTAATGGCTCAAGGACCAGAGATGGGGTGTGAGCTATTTGGATTGGGGACCTGTGTGCTCTAGAGTGCTATACATGTTTCATGCTTGATTTCTAACCAGAATTTCTTTTTTTTTTCTTTCTAACCTTCTCTTTCCACAGTCATCATGAACATTAGCTGAACTGCAAGAGGATTTCTTTGCTAGGCCTAATTGGTCCCCAAGTAAAATCTCATACCATTAAAAAGTTTCAAATGGAATCTCTTTTCCTAGAACTTAAGACTATTTGTGGCCTATATATGACGGAACTCAAAGGTGGACACAAAACTTACATTGGGGTCTGACCAGTTCAGAGTATATTGGAATGACGGCTATATAAAACACTGATATCAATTTTGCATGCCTTGACTTATCTTAATGATATCATAGGAATTGCAAACATCTACGTGAGACCCCACGAGAAAAGCAAAAGGTATGAATTTTTCACTACCCTTCTCACTAATATTTATGCCCACTATGTGCAATGTTCATTTTAGAGATCTACTTTACCTTTTCGTGCTTGCGGTTCATTTCTCTTATAAATCATTAAGTACCTCGGACTTTCAGGTATGAAGGGCAGTAGAAACAGTTGAACCAAGGTTAGAAGCCCTACCATACCCATCAGTATAGACCAACCTGCAGCAGAATATTGAACAGTGACACACAGGTAGCAAAAAAATCATGGTGACACCTAACTACTATAAGCCCAAAGGGGACTTCTCCAGATCGAGAACACAGGCCTTGTATGAATTCACTGTTTGCTCATCTTTGGAAGTATTTGTGCTTCAATTTGCTTCTATCTCTTTAGGGGCTAACTAAGCCCATTTAAAACTGGAGGAAGAATCACAGTTGTCCATGTTTGACTCATGTTTGACAAGGCCATTCTCCCTTTAAGCACACCACTTTTTACTTTGGATCATGCTGCTCTTCTTACTGAGTGGGCCACATTCAAACACTACCACTGAGGGCCACTGTAGTGTAATGGCTAAAGAAATAGGAAGACCCAAGTTCTAATCCTGACACAGACACCCGCAGCTAGTTACTTTCTTTCCCAGCCCAAACCTCTTCCACGAAATTATTCAGGGTGGGGAAAGGGAATGCTCTGTATGCCCCTTGAACTCCTGAATGAAAAGCAGGGTATAAATCAAATACTCTTCTACAACCAATTGTTGCCTCTAACAGCAGCAGGCCATTAACTGGGGTCATTTTGCCTCCTCCAGCTCATCATCTCAATGCAATATCATTGTTTCTAAATTGATAGGTTTTCCATGCAAGGCATCTTCTGTACCAGACAGTGTTTATAGGGCAGCCTGCTGAGCAAAATTTGAATAGTAGGAAACCTAAGACCAAAAATGGGGTTCAGAGGGGTTCAGAGTTCCTCTTGGGGGCCCTGCTAAATCAAAGCAGCATTTATTATTTGGTCCTTGTGATTTTGTGTTGTTCTTATGTACAGGTGGTCCTCAACTTACAACAAAAGTGACTTATGACCCTTTCCCCACACTTATGACTATCGTAGCATCCCCATGGTCACACGATCAGATTCAGATGCTTGACAACGGACTCATATTTTATGACAGTCATGGTGTCCTGGAGTCATGAGATCCCATTTTGCGACCTTCTGACAAGCAAAGTCAACTGAGGAAGCCAGACGCACTTAACAACCATGTTGCTAACTTAACAACTGCTGTGAATCACTTAATGATTGTGGCAAGAGAGGTTATTCAATGAGACAAAACTCACTTAACAACAACAGAAATTTTGGGCTGGCTTGTTGTACGTTGAGGACTACCTGTATGTATTTATAAATTAGACTTTATGGATTTAATTACAGATGCTATTGATCTGGGTCAGGGGTAGGCAACCTTGGCTCTTTTATGACTCGTGGACTTCAACTCCCAGAATTCCTGAGCCAGCGTGGCTCAGCTTGGAAATCTCTCCCTTTCCCCTCAGCATGGCTGGCTCAGGAATTTTGGGAGTTGAAGTCCACCAGTTATAAAAGAGCCAAGGTTGCCTACCCCTGGCCTAGGCCTAGGCCGCTTTATGACTTGTGGACTTCAACTCCCAGAATTCCTAAGTCAGCATGGCTCAGCTTGGAAACCTCTCCCTTTCCCCTCAGCATGGCTGGCTCAGGAATTCTGGGAGTTGAAGTCCACGAGTCATAAAAGAGCCAAGGTTGCCTACCCCTGATCTGGGGTCACAACAATTTGGGTATCCATTCATTTCTTCAAATCACCTTCTGAGTGTTCTAGGAGTTCCTTTACTGAAAGTATCTGAGCCATCAGGATGCCGATATTTAAAAAGAACTGGTGTAAGAAAATGAGGGCTCCTCGGTGATTCCTGGGGGCTATTTCACCCATGTATAAGGGAACAATACTTAAAATGAAACCTGGTTGGAAGAGAAAGCAAAGAACAATTCACAACATGCAAACTATACTGCGCACAGAAATGTATCATCAGATTAATGGTGCATAAAATGTCCACCGTCTTGCCATTTCCATTTCTACTACCCTAAAACACTCTTGTAAAGGTGGTACAAAATATCTTTGAATCTGGTTCAATGTACATCAGAAGCAACCCGTTCAAAATCTATTGGTGGGTCCATGACAGGGATGTCAAACTGCCGGCCCACAGGCCGGATGCGTCATGCCAAAACTGTGCCCACCCCAACTCCAGCAATGGGAAAAAGTCATGATATATTGTGATACATCACGTGACATTGTGAGTTTGACACCCTTGGTCTGTGACAATTCACTATGGTCAACTCATCATGGCCAGCTCACCATGGCCAACTCAACACGGCCAACTCTTGTCTTGCACTGAGGAACAACTCAGTGCAAGACAAGAGTTACACTAATATCAAAGAAAGGGTGGAATAGAATCATTAAAGGATGCAAAAGGAAGGCCAGAATAAAATATGAATGACAAAAATTAAAAGATTTATTTTATTTATTTTAAATAATTAAATTGAACTGTTAAATTGTCCTACCGTGACTGGTCCCATGACAAGTGGGCCATGGTGAGTCACCCTTGGCAAATTGGCCACGATGAATTGGCCATGGGGAGTTGTCCCATTCCGTCTATTGGCACCTTTTATTTAACACAAAGTGATGCTGTGTGCATCTTTTTAACCTAAGAGAACCAGTTCAGGTTTGAAAAGGGAATGAAATTTCAGAAGTTTGAATTTGGCCAGAAACTGGATTCTGGAGAAATTCAAATATTTTGGAAAGTTGTAATGTATCTCAAAATTGTTGCAGAGTTCAGTCATTTTTTTCTCCCGCAGGAGAATCCTTTGAAAGAGATTTGTTGAAGTCCTTGAGTTGCAAAGAACTGTCCTCCTACATAAATTCTTTCTGAAATGCTCCTAATTGAGACACATGCATGCACACGCGCACAAAGTGGTTGATGTTGTTTTCAAATCCTAGGCTGGAGCAGAGTCAAATATATTCATTTTGTAAGAGGCAGATGTTCAGAAGGCATATCTTTGCTTGCAAATGTCATTCAATTCTGCTGTGATTCTTTATTTATTGGCAACATTTTCCTTTAAAAAATATCCAAAAGTCACATTCTGGAAGTCAGTTATTAATTTTCTATGCTAGCCAAAAAAGAGGCAGAAAGATTCAACTTTGAGTCTGCTGAACTGCAACTCCACAAAACAGTTTGAAGGGAGATGGTTTTCTAATTACAAATTAGAGAACCATGTTGGTGTGATGGTTAAAGCACCAGCCTAAATACTGAGTCAATGTCAGTCCTAGTCCTACCTTAGAACCAAGGTGGCGCAGTGGTAAGAATGCAGTATTGCATGCTAACTCGGTTCACTGTCAGCAGTTCAAGGTGGACTCAGCCTTCCATCCTTTTGAGGTTGGTAAAAGGAGGACTCAGATTGTTGGGGGCAATATGCTGATTCCATAAACCGCTTAGGCAACCATGGTAAGAGCCGTGGTGGTGCAGTGGTTAGAATGCAGTATTGCAGGCTAACTCTGCCCACTGTCAAGTGTTCGATCCTGACCAACTCAAGTTTGATTCAGCCTTCCATCCTTCTGAGGTCAGTAATATGAGGACCCAGATTACTGGGGACAATGTGCTGACTTTGTAAACTACTTGGAGAGGGCTGTAAAGCATTAGGAAGTGGCATATAAGTCTAAATGCTATTGCTAAGACATGAAAGCACTTTGGCCACTTTTGGCCAGTCTTTCTGTCTCAGCCCTGGGAAGGAGGCAATGGCAGTCTTGCAAGAAAACTGCAAGGGCTTGCCCAGACAGTTGGCAGGAGTCAATGATGACTCAAAGACATCAAAACATATTTTTCAGGAAAAAAAATGGTTTCGGTATATCCCTATCTTTTAGCATATGTTTTTCCCTGTTATATTCTGATGGCAGACATTTTGTGCCAAGTTAGCATATCAAAGAACTACAGTTTCGTCCCTGTACACATATAGGCACCTCATTTATTTCCTTACCCTCCTCTTTTTTATATACTTTCCTAATATTGAAGCCTATGGAATAATAGTTGTCTGAAATATATACTTCTCTAGTTATTGGATCATGTCTAGCTGCATACGTGGTAATGTCCATTGCCATTTCTTTGCATGGCTTCACATCCAGAACAATGTAGCATATAATAATCTGGTTTAAAGTGCCCCGACGTGGTCCATCAAGATTCACTTATTTCATCCAGTTCAGTACACTTGGGTTCTGCTTTGACAATTTTAAGTCTTTGTTCATGGCTTTTTCATTTTATGTTTTGACTAATAATAATAGTAGTAGTAAAGTTGGAAGGGACCTTGGAGGTCACCTAGTCCAACCCCCTGCTCAGACAGGAAACCCTATACCATTTCAGACAAATGGCTGTCCAGTCTCTTCTTAAAAACTTCCAGTGTTGGAGCATTTACCGCTTCTGGAGGCAGGTGGTTCCACTGGTTAATTGTTCTAACTGTCAGGAAGTTTCGCCTTAGTTCTAGGTTGCTTCTCTCCTTTACTAGTTTTCATCCGTTGCTTCTTGTCCTGCCTTCTGGTGCTTTGGAGAACAGCTTGACTCCCTCTTCTTTGTGGCAGCCCTGAGATACTGGAACCCTGCTATCATGTCCCTCCTCATTCTTCTCTTCGTTAAACTAGACATACCAATTCCAGCAGCTGTTCCTTATGTGCTTTAGCCTACAGTCCCCTAATCATCTCTGTTGCTCTTCTCTGTACTCCTTCTAGAGTATCGACATCTTTTTTACATCGTGGTGACCAAAACTGGATGCAGGATTCCAAGTGTGGCCTTACCAAAGCATCGTAAAGTGGTATTAACACTTCATGTAATCTTGATTCCATCCCTCTGTTAATGCAGCCTAGCACTGTGTTGGCCTTTTTGGCAGCTGCAGCACACGGCTGGCTCATATTTAGGTGATTATCCACTAGGACCCCGAGGTCCCTCTCACAGTTACTACTATTGAGCACGGTACCCCCTATACTATACCTGTGCATTTGGTTTTTCTTGCCTAAATGTAGAACCTTGCTTTTTTCCCCCCATTGTGAAGTGGTATGTGCATTGGTTAAGTGAGGCCCTGAGATGTCCCTGTGGCCTTTGGTCTTGCTATACTAGCACTATAATCTATTCATGGAAGGTTTACAGAGCTTCTCAATAGCTAGAGAACTGCCCTCTGATGTAACATTACTGGGCACACAGATTGTATAAATCAGACAGTCTTATCTGTATTGTTTTCTTAGCAACAGAATAACTGAATTGCAAGGGATCTTGAAGATATCCTAGCCCAGTGGTTCTCAACCTTTCTAATGCCGTGACTCCATAATACAGTTCCCCATGTTGTGGTGACCCCCAGCCACTTATACATCACCAGGTGCCAGGGGTGTGGCCAAAGAAAAGGGGGAAAAATGGCGGACAGCCTTGTTTGGCAACCCCTGTGAAATGGTCATTCAACCCCAAATGGGGTCCCAACCCACAGGTTGAGAACCACTGTCCTAGCCCTTCCCTTGCTCAATCAGGAAACTCCGTAATATTTCAGACAAATGGTTGTCCAATCTCTTCTTAAAAACTTCCAGTGTTGGAGCACCCATAACTTCCGGAGGCAAGTCATTCCACTGATTAATTGTTCTAACTGTCAGAAAAATTATCCTAAGTTTGGCAGCCCCCCAAAAAAGAATCCCTAAGACCGGCCCCACCCACATAGTTCAAGGGTAATGAAACATCTGCATGAAAACAAGCAAGCTTAGAGAGCACCAAGGACCCTTCTTTCTAAATACATTTCTATGGTTTTATCATCAATATTTCTCTACTGCAATCATCAATCATTCAGTTTTGTTCCCCTCTAATATTTATTAATTGCATTGTCTAGAGCGATTGCTCAGGTGAAATCTGTCTGTGTGGTCATTTAAAACTGACTTGACATTGTTGAGCAGGGATGTCAAACTGCCGGCCCATGGGCCGGATGCATCATAGCAAAACCACACCCATCTCCTTGCCAGCAATGGCAAAAGAAATTGTGATACGTTGCCACACGTCACGTGACGTTGCGAGTTTGACACCCCTGCTATTGAGGATTCACCAAAGGTCTTGCTATTTGTGTGTTTGAGTTTTTCAAAATGTCTTTTAAAAATGATTTTAGATGGCTTGTAAATGCTTCATGGAACACTGAAAGCCACTCATCAATCTGCCATAGAGCAGAAAGGAAGAAATAAAAGCAGACGAGTAACCAAAATCTTTAAAAGACTTAAATTATTATATCCATGGATAGGACCCACCTAAAGATAATCCAGTGATCAAGTGAGCTAAAAAGGTGAATTCGATGCCCAGGACAAAACTTTCAACACTCATCAAGACTGAAGAGGTCATTGCTGTAATATTAACTACCACCAAAGAATTTTTCCTGAAAAATAAAAGATATCAAAGGAATAAAAAAGAAAAACTGGAGAGATATTAGTGAATGCATCGTGTCCACCGTCAGCCAGGTGTAACATTTTAGGTGAGTTTGAGGCCTGTCTTCACTACAAGCTTGTTCTTATGAGGAATTGTTGCAGGCATGAGTACGGGTACATTGCTTTGAGATTTTGAAAGAAAGGGGAGTTAAAAATCGGATGATTTTTTTTAAAAGAGGGAGAAAATGTGGAAGCCTGCTTAAACTGAAGCCAGACAGAATTGGAAATGGTCTAAGAAAAAAATATCCAGATAATTTGAGGGTCTGCCACCAAGAAGAGGGTGGTCAAACTATTCTCCAAAGCACCAGAGGGCAGGACAAGAAACAATGGTTGGAAACTGATCAAAGAGAGAAGCAACCTGGAATTAAGGAGAAACTTCCTAACAGTGAGGACAATCAACCAATGGAACAGCTTGCCTCCAGAAATTGTGGGCGCTCCATCACCAGAGATTTTTAAGAAGAGGCTAGACAGTCACTTGTCTGAGATGGTATAGGTTCTCCTGCTTGAGTAGGGGGATGGACTAGAAGACCTCCAAGGTCCCTTCCAGCTCTGTTCTGTTCCTGAATGAGCAAGAAGTATTGATCACCAATTATTCACTAAGAAAGTTAAGTATTGAGGATAGCAATTCTATAAAGGTAGTCTTCCACTTAAGACCACAACAGAATCCGACATTTCCATTGCTAAGCAAGGCAGTTGTTAAATCAGTTTTGCCCCACTTTATGACCTTTCTTTGCCACAGTTGTTCAGCAAATCGCTACATTTGTTAAATGAATCATACAGTTAAGTGAACCTGGATTTCCCCATTGACTTTGCTTGTCGGAGGCAGTTGGGAAGGTTACAAATGGGATCACACTACCCCAGGTCAGGGCAACTGTCCTAAACACATGCCAGTTGCCAAGCAGCTGAATTTTGATCATGTGACCATGGGGAGATTGCAATAATCATGTGAAAACTGGTCATAAGTCACTTTTTTTTCCAGTGCGGTTGTAACTTTGAATGGTCTATAAATGGATAATTGTAAGTCGAGAACTACTGTGATAAAATTTCTGTGTCAATACTACAAACGAATTTGGCTGAAGCCATTTTTACTTCGTTTTCAGTTGCCATAGAATTGGGAGGAGGGATGTGTGAAGTTTAGATACAACAATAAATTGTCCTGTGGGAACCAAGGTCGTTGCTGCCTGAGTTTTGGTGGGCTGCAGTTTCCGTTAGAAAGCCCACCAAAGTAGATTATTGGGGAATGTGATTGATGACATATTACTGGGGTGGGAAGTTCAACTTTGTAACTTTGGGGAGGGAACTCCAGGCTTGGTTTCACTTTTGAACATGCCGATACTATGTAGCCAAATAAATATGTTCTTTAAGGAAACATTTTGCCTTGTTTTACTGGTCTCATCTATTGGAACCATAACACTCTGTCATTTTCACCCTGCAGTGGCCAATCAATTGAGGCGCATACAACATTTCCACAAATAAAAGCAAATATATATGTCCCAGGATAATGTTGCAAGATCCAATCTGGATTGGTCACTGAGATCAGAGGTCTAGTCTTCCAAGCTTTCAGACTTGTGCTGGAGCCCAACTTCAGGGACAACTTGACACAGCCAACTCACTACGGCCAATTCACTATGGCCAACTCAATATGGCCAACTCACTATAGCCAACTCACTATGGCCAATTCACTATAGCCAACTCACTGCAGAACAACTCAACATGGCCAACTTACCATGGGACAACTCATTGTGGGACAATTCAACAATTCATTTTAATTATTCAAAATAATTAAAAATTGTTTTAATTTTTGCCATTTACATTTCATTTTGTCCTTTCTTTAAGGATTCTACTCCACTATTTCTTTGATATTAGTGTGACTCATGTCCCGCAGTGAGTTGGCTGTAGCAAGTTGACCGTGACAAATTGTCTAGTGGTGAGTTGGTCACGGCAAGTTGTCTCTCAGCAAATTGGCCACAGTGAGTTGGCCACGGCAAGTTGGCCAAGGCAAGTTGCCCTAGACCTCCCCACCCCTCAGGGAACTTCTCTCTTCCTACCACATTCTGGTATAGAGACATTCCCTGAGAATGGGCTCCAGCATGAGTCTGAAAGCTCAGAAGACTGACCTCTGGTCTTGGTGACTAACCCAGATTGGATCCCTGCATACATCATTCTTGTCTCAAACAGAATCTAGTTGCGTCTGTGTTTGTCAAGTCGAAATGAGAAGAGATGCTGAGGAGGAAGTGTCAGCAGATCAATGACTTATTACAGAGCTCAGAGGTGAAGAGATCAAAAGAAAAGAATGTCCAGAAAAGCTCCATGCTCAGCAGAACAACACAAGAAAACATGTGACTCTAATGAGTAGATTTGATTGAACATTGCTGGTGAATGAATGAAAGTGTCTTGCTAAGCAAACAGACCTTCTAGAACAGGGGTGTCAAACTGCCAGCCCATGGGCCGGACGTGTCACAAGAAAACTGACAATGGGGAAAATGTTCTGATACATCATGCAATGTCATGTGATGTCGCAAGTTTGACATGTCTGTTCTAGAAGGAAAGGCAGGCAGGCAGCATGGTGAGGACTATGTCTAAAACTACCTACTGCAGACTACCTCTAAAAAATCTAACAAATAAGTATGTAAGTACATAACCCTCTATGACACTGAAAAGAACAAAGGGAAACAGTGGTATTTTTATGTACACAATAATATATCAAGTAATAAAGATACTAATAACGTGTTATGCGGATGATGCTATCCTGGTAGTTGAAAATTCAAAGAATCTGCAAGCTGTATTAATTAAAAAACTGGGGGGGAAACCCACGACTAAAATTAAATATAAGAAGAACAAACTAATGACAACGGTTATAATAATAATAATAAAGTTGGAAAGGACCTTGGAGGTCATCTAGTCCAATCCCCTGCTCAGGCAGGAAACCCTATACCATTTCGGACAAATGGCTGTCCAGTCTCTTCTTAAAAACTTCCAGCACTGGAGCATTTACAGCTTCTGGAGGCAGGTTGTTCCACTGGTTAATTGTTCTGACTGTCAGGAAATTGCTCCTTAGTTCTAGGTTGCTTCGCTCTTTGGTTAGTTTCCATCCGTTGCTTCTCGTCCTGCCTTAGGTGCTTTGGAGAATAGCTTGACTCCTTCTTCTTTGTGGCAGCTCCTGACATATTGGAACACTGCTATCACCCCTTGTCCTTCTCTTCACTAGACTAGACATACCCAATTGCAGCAACCGTTCCATATACAGTATGTTTTAGCCTCCAGTCCCCTAATCATCTTTGTTGTTCTTCTCTATACTCTTTCTAGAGTCTAAACATCTTTTTTATATTGTGGTGATTAAACCTGGATGCAGAATTCAAAGTGTGGCCTTGCCAAGGCATTGTAAAGTGGTATTAACACTGCACATGATCTTAATTCTATTCCTCTGTTAATGCAGCCTAGCACTGTGTTGGCTTTTTTTGGCAGCTGCAGCACACTGGTGGTTCATATTTAAGTGATTGTCCACTAGGACACCTAGATTTCTCTCACAGTTGCTTCCCTTGAGTAAAGTACCATCTATACTATACCTGTGCATTTGATTTTTCTTGCCTAAATGTAGAACCTTACTTTTTTCACCATTGAATTTCATTTTATTAGATAGCACCCAATGTTCAAGTCTGTCAAGATCTTTCTGTATCTTAAGCCTATCTTCTGGAGTGTTGGCTATTCCTGCCAGCTTAGTGTCATCTGCAAATTTGATGAGTTCCCCTCTTATCCCTTCATCCAAATAATTGATGAAGATGATGAAGAGCACTAGTCCCATAACAGAGCCCTGGGGCACCCCACTACAAACTTCCCTCCATGTAGATGCAGCTCCATTGAGGACCACACCTGAGTACGGCCGGTCAGCCAGCTACGAATCCATCTGGTGGTGATGCTGTCTAACCCACATTTTTCTATCTTATCAAGTGATAGTTTGTGGTCTACTTTATCAAATGCCTTACTGAAATCCAAGTAAATTATATCCACAGCATGTCTCTGGTCCACTAATTTTGTCACCTGTCAAAGAATGCAATAAGATTTGTCTGGCATGATCTGTTTTTGACAAACCCATGTTGGCTTTTGGTAATGACTTTGTTTGCCTCTAGGTGTTCGCTGATTCATTTTTTGGTTATCTTTTCCAAGATCTTCCCAGGTAATGAGATCAAGCTGATAGGTCTGTAGTTTTCTAGATCCATTTTTTCCCCATTTTTGAAGATGGGAACGACATCAGCTCTTTTCCAGTCCTCTGGTAGTTCCCCAGTGCTCCAGGATCTTTGAAATATATAGTTCAGTTTTTCTGAGATCATATCTGCCAGTTCCTTCAAGAACCTTGGGGTGTAGTCCAACTGGTCCTGGTGATTTGAACTCATCTAGGGTGGACAAGTGCTCACTTACCATTTTCTTGCCTATCTTAACTTGTGTTTCTAATCTGTTTTTTTATGGTACTGTTCTTGCCACTTTCTCCCACTAGTGGACCAATCAGTTACAAAAACCAGTCTTAGAACTGATAATGAAGATATCAAAGTGATAGATAGTTTCTGCCTTTTATGATCAACCTTCAACAGAAAAAGAACAAGCGTCAAGAAATACACTACAAAGTATCACTTTGTAGAGCAACCTTGAAGGTCTTGGAGAAGATATTTAAATTCTATGGATATATGTCTGTACATACAAAGCTCAGAACTGTACAGGCCATATTATTACCTGTGACATGCTATGGAAGTGAAGGTTGGGTTTTGAAGAAGCATGATAAGAAGATATTGATGTTTTTTGAACTTTGGTGTTGGAGAAGACTTCTGAGACTATTGTGGACAGCTAAGAAAACAAACTGATGGATCATTAAAAAAAAAAATAACCCAAAGTCTCACTCAAGGCAATATTTGAGGGGCTCCTACAAAGACAAGGGGGCCAAACTATTTTCCAAAGCACCAAAAGGAAAGACAAGAAATAATGGATGGAAACTAACCAAGGAGAGAAGCAACCTAGAACTAAGGAGACAATTCCTAATGGTGAGAGCAATCAACCAATGGAATAGCTTGCCTTCGGAAGTTGTGGGTGCTCCCTCACTCAAGACTCTCAGAAAGAGACTGGGAAACCATTTGTCTGAAATGGTAATGGGGCTCCTTCTCAACTAGGGGGAAGGGGTTGAACTAGAAGACCTTCAAAGTCCCTTCCAACTCTATTATTCTATGACCAGGTTCAAATTATCCTACTTCAGACACATTATGTGAAAAACTAACTCCACAGAGAAAGCTCTAATGCTGGGTGAGGTGGATGAACTCAGATACAGTGACTTTTGTAGACTTGGTTAGAGAAAGTTTGCCATGGGGAAAAAAAATCTACCTGTATGATTACTAAGAGCAGACAACTTAACAGCACACATTCAATCAAGCTATCAACCAAAAAGATGATGGAAAAGATTTTGCAGTTGTAGAATGCTTTGGTTTTGAAGGATCTAACCAATGTCATGCATGATTACAAGTTGACGGTGATATTGAAGAAAAGGTAGGAGGATACGAATAGCAAGAGAAGAAGATCTGAATTTAATAAGAAAGGTACTATCGTAAGGGGTGCCGCTGGAAGTATATTTCAGAAGAAAGAAATATGGGCTCAGGAAAGCTCAGAGAAGATGGAAGTCCAGATGGTTTTTGTGCTGCTAGAATTAAGAAACTCTTTTCATGCGATTGCTGCAGACACCCTAATATAAAAGACCAACTGAAGACCCTTTTGAATACAGTAGTAGAACTGGGATTACAAACTTGCCAAGGTAAGAAGGTTACCTCAGCTACGAAATCAACTACATCTTTGAAACGAGTTGCACTGATACACTGGTGACTCCTAATTTTATTCTTCACTGCTATCTTGCTCTTGGGAAGCATCTAATTCTCTTCATCCTCGCCATGTTTGATCATGGGGTCCTTGAAAGTAAGCAAAGTTAAAACTGAATCTAGACAAGTCAGAGGTGTTGTTACAGAAGAAATCACGGTGTGAGATGGGAGTAACAAGTCTGCAGTCTTACTCAATCCTTGAACTCCTATTTTCTGTTTCCATGTAGGCTCAATGCAACGAAGTGAACTACATCTTGTGGACCAGCTCTGATCTCACTTGTGAACCCTTTGGAGCTGACAACAGTATCTATGCCTTATGCCATCGGTCTTGCAGACTTAAGTGTTAGACTAAGCAACACTTCATGGGCAGTGAAAGGTTAAGAGTACAAGTCAGGTGATCTCTTGATGGTTGTGAGGTTGTGAGCCCTGAGACCAGATACAAAATATTTGAATAAAAAGCTATTACACCCTTCCTCCTTCTTCCCTCCCTCCCTCCCTCCCTCCCTCCCTCCCTCCCTCCCTCCCTCTCTCTTTCTGTATATATATGTATATTTATAAGAGTATAACAATAAGAACTGAAGAAGCTTCTTGAGTGAGAAGTTATACATCTTCAAGAAAAAACAATGGAAGTCCACTTGCCTTTTGACAAAGGACCTTTAGGACATCCAGATTGAATATATGTAGAAGCAAGGTAGCAATACATCCAGGAAAGGGGCCCTTAACATATTCAGCCTCTTAGGCATGGGAAGAAAAGCATACAGGATTGAGGCCATTCTGATCTCCGAAAGAGATTATATTGTCAGAATCTGGTCATTAATGTCAGCCATGTGTGCTTATCCAAACTTACTGAGGCTTGAACAGAAAGTCAGACCTTTAAGAGCGACTACTAACTCTTTCAGATGCTTAAATTACTTTTCACTTTGTTCCTTTTTTTCTCTCTCATTTCACTGTGTTAAACTGGGTGGAGTGTTTTATGGATAGAATACTGGCACAGATAAGGAATCAAATAAACCAGGAAAGCAGCTTACCTTCCAAGGGTATCAGCCAAAAACCCAGCTATCACTGAGGCAAACATGGCTCCAAGTGGGAATAAAGCAATATTGATGGTCAACTCAACCCAAGGAAACTTTGGGAGATTTACCACTTGAAAAGACGTCTTGTTATAAAATTCTTTCAGGAGCTAGGAGAGAAACATAAAGCCATGCACATGGCAACAAAGACACAAGTTGGGGACCAAATAAATTTTGGAGAACAGTGATGCAGCTATTAAAAATGACCTTAGAAATGGCTTTGTGCAGGATTGTGTTGGCACAAAATTTGAAAGCACTGAAAGCCCCCCCCCCCCAAGAAGGAGAGGTGATTGGGAAAATACTGGAATGTGCAGAAATGAATAGACTAACAATGACAATTAAAGGTAAGACAGAGTCAGACTGCTATGAAATCTGGGGAACTTTTTATGATTGGCTGAAAAGAGAATACGATTAAAAGATAGTTAACATCAATTTAGATGGAAGAAGAAGGAGCAGATAAGGAGGGAGACCCAAGTGACACAGTATTGAATAACTGGAGGTTGTATAAATGTTTATAGAAGTATATACCAAGAAGGTTAGATAAACAGAAGTATTAATCTTATTGTATACAGATAGGGAAATTTGGAGAGAAGAGTTGTTCGGACATTACTCCTGAATTGCATCTGAAGAGGGATAAGAGGGAAGAAAGGGGAGGAGAGAGAAAAGAGTAAAGGAGGGGAGAAGGAAGTAGGAAGGTTGGAGGAGAAGAGGAGAAGTGGGGAGAAAGGGGAGGAGAGTGGTGAAGGAGAGGAGAGGAAGAAGAGGGAAGTAGGGAAGAGAAGAAAGGGAGAAAGAAGGTAGAGAAGAAGGAGTGTGGATCCAGTGAAAGGGGAAATGGGCGAGCAACACCAAAAGTCATGTGTATGTATTTATTTCATTTTATTAAAAGTATCTTATATATGAATGTAAAAAGAATGTATGTTAACATCTGATAAATATCACAGTATATGTATGGGGGAGAGTTTGGAAAAATAAAAAAATATTAAAAAAAGAAAAAAAAAGAAATGGCCTTGTGGTTTATTTCACTGATAAAGAACAACAACATTTTCTAACTCAAGAATGATATTATTTGAAAGAAAGCCCTACTTGCAGTAGAGAAAACAGGCAAAAAAAAAAAATTGTGGAACATGTATTCTTGCATTATCCATCTTATATGACCATCATTCCTTTTTTTATTTAATCAGAAGGCATTTATTTATCCCTAATTAGATTAGTAGCAATACAAGTTTTGCTCAGACATATTAAGCCTGTAAGCATATTAACTTAGAATCTGAATTTTCTTCTGTTCAAGGTTTATGTATATTGGGTATATTATCTTCTATTGTTAATCAACCATATTTAAGTGATAACTGACTGTTATATATAAAACAATAGGGATGTGAAAATCAACTCAAATCCAATCTGAATTATTGATCCAGTCAAGAATTGCTTTGATACAAAGCACAGACTTGGATGAGTTTGATTCCACTTTGCTGGTCAGTTTAAACAAGCAGCCCATTTATATGAAAAATTGTTCTGAACAGATACTTGATACAATTTAAAGGTAACATCTCTGAAGTGAAACAGCCTGCTCCACTATTCTAAGTATACATCATTCCAGCTGACAACTAAGGAGGCGATGCAATGGGTTATGCCTGGGAAAAAGAGAGCATGCGAGGCCAGGAGGGATGGGACGGGGGGGAGGGAGGGAGGGAAACCAACCATGCTGGGATGCATCCGGCCACATGGGACCTTGGCGAATTAGCAGGCGGCTGGTTGAAGAGAGGCATGGTGCACGTGCCCACAGAGAGGGCTCTGAGTGTCGCCTCTGGCACGCGTGCCATAGGTTCACCACCACTGACTTAGAGTGACAGTGCCTTTGAAGACCACTCAAAATTCAGCATCTCAATTACTGGTGGGCATCACCTGGAAAGATCACATCACACCTATGCTTCTGGTTTCATATTGGTTTCCAATAGGTTTCTAAATGAAGATAATCCTTATTCCAACATATTTGGAGATATTGTAGTGTGACCACTTTCCCTTCTATATCTTCAGTGGTGAAAAACACATAGTTTTTTTTTTTTTTAGTGGAGGGAAAAGACTCTACTCCTATTGTATATCCAACTTATAACCCCACAGTTTCTTTGGATATATATTTTTATTAGTTTATAATATACAATACAAAAATACGAAAAGAAAGCAGTAGGAAAATAGGGGAGAAAAAAGGGAAGGGAAAAATGTAGGGAAAAAGGGAAAAAGAAAGAAAAGTCATTGACTTCTGACTTCCTTTGCTGCAGTAGAATAAGATACTAACATCAAACCTCAACTTTTTACTTCTACATAATAATATAAACTAGCCATTCCTATAACAACCAAACTATTAATCGATAAAAACCTAAAATCAAAGTTTCGTTTATTTCCACCTCAGTGTCCAGAAGTAGTTTCCAAGTAGAAATAAAATTGTATTTCATTTTCTTTGATCAAAACTGCAGATCCCACCAGTCAAGGAATATAACCCCATAGTGTCTGTAGGGCGGGAACACGGAATATGGTTTGAAATGGTCAAATCTCAATCCAGAAATTAAAAATAATCTCTCGTAAAAGAAACACGGGCAGGTATACAAAAAAAAAGACAGAATCACTTGAGGAATTAAATCTTATGCACACCACTTAGTTTAGAAAGTCATTTGCATTACAGAAAGATCTTACCACACCAGGAGAATAAATTATCCAGATAAAGTAACCATAATGAAGGCTTAGGATGCTGGACACCAGAGAAACCCAAATAAGTGTCTTTGTCAGCTTCTATTTAAAAAAAAAATAACATGCTGTGAGTTGAATGGATATATATATATATATATATATATATATATATATATATATATATATATATATATATATATATATATAGGAAAGATGGAGGGCAATAGAAGAAGAGGACGACAGAGAATGAGGGGCTGGATGGAGTCACTGAAGCAGTAGGCGTGAGCTTAAATGGACTCCAGAAGATGGTAGAGGACAGGAAGGCCTGGAGGAATGTTGGATGGGTCGGACACGACTTCGCAACTAACAACAACAACATATGTAACTCTAGTTTCCTCCATTGATTTTGTTTGTTGGAAACCAGTTGGGAAAGTTGCAAATGATGATCACATGACCTCAGGATACTGCAACTAAGGTTAATACATGCTGGTTGCCAAATTTTTGATGCTGTGTAATTGCGAGGAATGGTTGTAACTAACTTTTTTTTTTCAATACCTTAACTTTAACAGTTGCTAAACAAATGGTTTAAGATGAGAACTATCTGTAATGCTATAACATGTAGAAGAGAAGTCCCTTTCATATTGCTGTGTTAATGTCCATTGTGGTGCTCTATTCATGGAATTTCTCCCCAATAGACAATAGTCTGATATCTTTTCTCATGAAAAATCAGTGTCAAAGAAAAGAATCAGAATAGAGCTGGAAGGGACCTTGAAGGCCTTCTAGTCCAGCCCCCTGCTCAAGCAGGAGATCCTATACCATTTCAGACAAGTGACTGTCCTGTCTCTTCTCCAAAAACCTCCAGTGATGGAGCACCCATAATATCTGAAGGCAAATTGTTCTAATAGTTAATTGTCCTCACTGTTAAGAAGTTTCTCCTTAATTCCAGATTGCTTCTCTCCTTGATTAGTTTCCATCCATTGTTTCTTGTCCTGCTTCAGGCGCTTTGGAGAACCAACTGATCCCCTTCTCCTTGTGGCAACCTCTAAAATACTGGAATACTGCTATCATATTCCCCCCCCCCCCAGTCCTTGTTTTCTCTAGACCGGCCATATCCAAATCCTGAAACTATTCTTCGTATGTTTTAGTCTCCAGGCCTTGAATCATCTTAGTTGCTTTTCTTTTGCACTTTTCCCAAAGTCTCAACAACTTTTTTTTATAATTTTCTGGCCAAAACTGGATGCAATATTCCAGGCATGGTCTTACTAAGGCTTTATAAAGTTCTTTTTACCACCTCACCAGTTTCTAAAAGAGTTGGGTTTAAAACATTTGATTCTGACATGGATGTCTTTTTGCATTTGCTGAGTTTTATGATGTGGATCCTGTGAATCATCCTAGAAATTATATATATGATCTTTAGTAAGTCTACCGAAATTTAATTAACGTATCATGCCAGGCCTCAAACTTTAAGCTTACCTATCAATTTGCTCTTAAACCCTGAAAACAACAATATCAGCTTTGACTATCATCATATGTTTAAGTTTGTCCAAACTCACACTTTTTAAAGGTTTTTTCAGGTCTGTCTGTTCCTTGACTTCTTTAGTCATTAATTGTACACTTTTGCTCTGTTCATCCATGTTTATGTCTATTAATGGGAAGTAACTCGGGATAACCTGTAGGACAATGAGAACAAGCTTGACAGTTGGTCATCTAGTATCTATTCTATTATCTTTCTTAAGAATACAGGTATTTGATCAAAAGCTCAAAAGCTATAAAATAGATAACTCCAGGAAGGAACTATCCTTTAAATCAGAAATTCAGAAATATATTGACTCTGGAGAAATATAAAATATAAGCAAGCAAATCAGGCATATCCAACATTGTTGGGAAGATTATTTGACCACACAAACTTCCCGTAAATCTTATTTTGAATCCACACTTATCTATGCATATATACTCATACACACGCATGTGTTTATGTGGCAGAACATTGCAACACATTTTGATAATTGAAACATTGGAGGGATTTTTATGATCCCTTGACTATTGGTGATTATTTGGTGGGAGTTTACTGATTCAGTATCCCTGGATTTTCTTGAAGAGCAGAAGCAGAAGGAATCCAGGAACTGTTGCATCCACGCTATCCAAACTGCCATAAAATGGGAAGCTATAGAACCCGTTCACCTGCCTCAATCTCGAATGACACAAATAAGCAATGAAAACACAGACTTTCACTAGTTTCTCCTGCGGGTGAGTAAGGATTCTAGAATTAATCCAAGCTGAATGATCTTCTTTTGTTTGAAACAATATTTTAAATTCAAAT